GGGAGACCACAGGACCCTGGGCTGCTGGGGGCAGATGGAGTTCACTCCCCAGCCATGGTGGCACATGGACCAGACAGGCCTTGCCACTCACCTCTATGTTATATCAGTGGCCTCCCCACTTCCAGAGCTCCCCTGGGTGCTGCCTGTGTTCCAAGCCAGGATCCCAGCCTGGTGACGGCCCCCTTCTGATAGGTACCCTTGGCTCATTCCTCACCAACAAGAACGCAGACAGATGGGCTGATGCCGAAGGAGAGTGTATTTCATGGAGGCCCCAAACCCTTGCAGTGCCTGAGAGGTTATTACAATGCTGCGTTCAAACTGAGCTGTGAAATCTATTTTAAACTATTTTAGGAACACTCATTAAAACATGCAACAGTAATAGGTTCCCCCTGGGGGACTACTGACAGCGGGGATCAGGGCAGGAGGAACCTTCTAGGGGGCCGATAACATTCTTCACCTATATCTGAGTTGTGGTTTCAAGGGTCAGACTGCACAACTACGTGGATGTACTGAACGCCACAGAACTGTACACCTAAAGATGCTTCTGGTGGCAAATGTTATGTATACTTGACCACAGTATCAAAAAGCACAGACTAAAATAGAATTCAAAATATTGCTGTAAATTGATTTTTTTTTTTGAGATGGAGTTTCTCTCTTGTTACCCAGGCTGGAGTGCAATGGTGCGATCTCGGCTCACTGCAACCTCCGCCTCCTGGGTTCAGGCAATTCTCCTACCTCAGCCTCCCGAGTAGCTGGGATTACAGGCACGCGCCACCATGCCCAGCTAATTTTTTTGTATTTTTAGTAGAGACGGGGTTTCACCATGTTGACCAGGATGATCTCGATCTCTTGACCTCCTGATCCACCTGCCTCGGCCTCCCAAAGTGCTGGGATTACAGGCTTGAGCCACCGCGCCCGGCCAATTGATTTCAATCAATATCAGATTAAGCCAAAACAGAAGCGTACAGGCAGAAATTTAAAATCCATCAAGTTTTGCCCTCTTTACATATATGTGAGCTGCACCCTAATTAAAACAACAATAACAAAAAACAGTGTTATGTACCAAATTACACAACACTGGCCAGCCAAAGCTTTTCCTAGTCATCTTGGGCACCAGATAACTCCTTTTCTGCAGAACTCAAGATAGCATTTCAGGCTAGAGCTGGATCCTGCGGTTTCAAGGCAGCTGGTGAAAATCTCTCAGCACGGGCAAGCATGCACCTATGGGACTCAGATTATTCTTCTATTCTGTGCAATCAAAACAAAATATGAAAAATAAACTGGATGTTGGGATGAGAAAATTACAGAGACGGAACACAGATAAATGGGTGCCAATGGTTAGGGAAAAGGAGGGTGGCAGGGGGTGACTCTCAAGAGGTGGTCCAAGGGGGCACCTCAGCCAGCATGAAGCCTTCTGTTCTTGATTGTCATGGTGGATGAAGCTGTGCATGTGGTAAGATGTCACAGAACTTTACACAAAAGCATACCGAGAAATGAGTGTGTGCCGAAACCCGTAAGCCTGATGAAGAGCTGTAGTCTAGCTCACAGTATCGGGTCCATCCACTTCCTGGTTCTGAGAGCACACTGCAGTTACGTCAGATGTCACCACTGGACAAAGCTGGGTGAAAGGTACAACAGACCTCTCTGTCCTCTTTTTGGCAGTTATCGTGACTGTATAGTTATTCAAAATAAAACATTTTAAAGTCCATCAAGTTGCATGCTGAGAACAATGTACACTGCCAGAACCCTAGTTTTCATATTTTTCTGCTCATTAAATCATCTCACTGTTCTTAGTGACTGGCTTAATCAACTGTACAAGCAAAACATGATACATAAAATAATAGGTATATTAATAAAACACCATATAAGTTTAATCTTTTTTAAAAAGGCATCAGTTCCTTTGGAGAAGCTGAAAATCACTGAGGTCAGAAGAACACACGACGGGGCCCAGGAGCTAGGCTGGGCCTGCCCTCAGCTAACCAGCTGTCACACGAACAGTGACGACGATGCCAGTTCTGACCATTAAAAGGCTTCCTTGTTGAGGAAGTGAGACATAGGCACCTGGGAGAGGATATAAGGACATAAGACACTCCCGGGTAGCACGTGGCTAAGTATCATATGAGTAGTGCTACGGACTGACTGTGTCCCCACAAAATTCTTATGTAGCAGCCCTAACTCCCACTGTGACTCTATTTAGAGACAGGACCTGTAAAAAGTGGCTTAAGGTTATATGAGGTCATGAGGTGGGGCTCTAGGCCAGTATGACTGGCGTCCTCCTAAGAAGGAGGAGAGACAGCAGGCAGGTACACGCACAGAGGCAAGGCTGGAGAGGTGGAGAGGACTCAGGGAGAAGGCGGCCACCAACGGCCAAGGGCAACGGCCAAATCTGCCAAACCTGGATCTCCGACTTCAGCCTCCGGATCTGTGAGACAACACGCTGCTGCTGTTGAACCCACTCAGTTTATGTGGCATTTTGTTATGGCAGCCCGAGCAAACCAATCAAAACTGGTATGGTGATGTGGCTCAGGAAAGCAGAAGATGCCTGATTCGAGGCAGCTGCCTGCTCTTCACCAGTGGCCTGAACACAGGACGTAACCACAATTAATGGCATATTCCCATCAAAAGAGAAAGCTTTTATACATTCACAAGAAACTAAAAGCTAGCTATAAATCCTGTGGAAGAAAACTACACCATTATATACACAGTTTTAGTGATCACCGGAATTGGAGTTCCTTCATCTGCATTTATTCAATTCATTCATTCAGTCAGTCAGTCAGTCAGTCAATCAGTCCTTCTTCATTTAATCAACCAACCAAGAGCAGTGAGGAAGCCTCTCTAGCTAGTGCCAGGTACTGAAGGCCACACAGCCTGGAGGCCAGAGTTGGGCTCCGTGTAGTGCGGAGGCTTCCAGGAGAGAAGGGCAGGCAAGGGCTATATGACTGATGGATTGTGTCCCTGCGGGGCAAGCCAGGGAGGAGGAGGAGCACAGAGCAGAGGCGACCCTGGACAGGGGGACTGTGACCAAGGCTGACCTGTGAACTCGGGGACAGAGCAGCCACTCCTAGGGACAGCATATGCCTGGCAGTCCTGTTGACAGAGGTCAGCCCGTACACATCTCCATGGCCCCGACCCGACCTGGGCCTGTGTCAGCCAGCCCTCCCAGGAAGCATACTTCACATGGCCTTTCTCTAGCAATCCCTCACGGAGACAGCCCCCAAATAACAAAGCAGGAGTTGGCTGCTTGCTTCGTGACACCTTGCTCTCAGATCTGTTTAGAGGACCAATGAAGTATAATCTATTAAAAACCATTTTGTGCTGGGCACAGTGGCTCATGCCTGTAATCCCAGCACTTTGGGAGGCCGAGACGGGTGGATCACAAGGTCAAGAGATCAAGACTAACCTGGCCAACTTGTGAAATCCTGTCTCTACTAAAAATACAAAAATGAGCTGGTCGTGGTGGCGGGCGCCTGTAATCCCAGCTAGTCGGGAGGTTGAGGCAAGAGAATTGCTTGAACCTGGGAGGTGAAGGTTGCAGTGAGCCGTGATGGTGCCACTGCACTCCGGCCTGAGCAACAGAGTGAGACTCAGTCTCAAAAAAAAAAAAAATCATTTTGTAAACTCTAAAATGTGACATGAAAGACAGTTATCATTATATTAGATTTCAAAGGCTCTCGTGAGTCACCTAATCCAAGCGATCATTTGATGGATTAAGAAACCACACATACCCAAGGCCACCCAGCTGGCATGCGCCAGAGCCAGAACAAAGGCTTGGGATGACTCACTGCCGGGGCTCCATGAGCAGCTCAGCTGTTCCACATGTGAATTTCATAACATTATGTATTTTTCACACCTATACTGTTTTCTTTGATTTTACTACAATTCTAAACATACACGATTCACAATTTTTATTCTGGCCACGCAATATGGTATTTCGCCCTCCCGTTGAACACAGGTTTGTGTTACGGCAAAACTGGACACACCCTTGGCATTTCCCGTTTAAACCAAACACTCTGCTCCTACACCCAAAGAACGGTTTCTGTTTGAAACCCAAGAGAGGTCAAGAGCAAACCAGGCAGAACTGAAGGCGGGCGAGAAAGGAAAATGGCAGGGGAAGGGGAACGGGAGGGGAAGGTAGAGGAGGGGAAGGGCTGTTTTCCCAGCACTGGATGCCACTTTCAGTGTTGTCACACTCAAAAGCGATCAGCCTGGCAGCAAGGCAGGTGGAAGAGATCAGATTTATTTGTTTATTTTTTTTGAGATGGAGTCTCGCTCTGTCACCAGGCTGGAGTACAGGAGCACGATCTCAGCGCACGGCAACCTCTATCTCCTGAGTTCAAGTGATTCTCATGCCTCAGCCTCCTGAGTAGTCAGGATTACAGGTCCATGCCACCACACCCAGATAAATTTTTTTTTGTACTTTTAGTAGAGACAGGGTTTCACTATGTTGGCCAGGATGGTCTCAATCTCCTGACCTCGTGATCTGCCCGCCTCGGCCTCCCAAAGTGCTGAGATTACAGGCGTGAGCCACCGAGCCCGGCCGAGATCAGATATCTTACAATAGAGAGTCATCACCCTTCACCTCTTAGAGTGAAGATCAATAAAGGTCATTTGCATGCATGAGAATAAACTGCTAAGCTTCCACCTCACGACCACAACTGTGTAACTTAGCGGGCTGCCTCTCCTGCCTGGGTGACCAAAACGCCCAGAGCCAAATGCAGTCCCAACTGCAGACACCTTAGAGCAGCCTGGTGGCTCCTCCCCTCGGTATCACTTGTCGTGTTTTCCTTACTGACCCTTCATCTAGACGCCTTCTGCCATAAGTAACTTTGAAACATTTCAGGAAAATTAAAAAGGGAAAGTCAAAGAGCAGCTTACAAGAAGAGAGGCAACAGAATGTGCGGCACTTGCTTGAGGAGGGTTCCTCCCCTGGGATCAAGTAGTCTCCCAATTCCCCCACGGTGTATCAGCCGCTCGGATTATTACTTCAAGCCTTAACTTACCAACAGTGTCACATGGTTCATCTTTCTGTACACAGAAATCTGTCCTAAAAAAAAAAAAAAAAAAAGAAAGCCATCGTCAGGTATATGCAGTATCCCCAAGAGTGGGAGAAGAAAACACTGTCAATTACCCTCGCGTAGCCATCCCATGAGGTTATCCTTCCAGTGGCCACCGGCCACAGTGGACGGTAACAGGCAGCCGTGTCTGGCAACAGTAACCCATCCAGATTTCCCAGGGGTAGGTCCACTCACACCACGAAACCCTTCTTTTACAGATCAACTATTCTATACGTAACAGTTTCTGGAAGGACTCCTTGCAAAGGCTGAAAACGTTTTGGAAGATGTTTGCCAAGTCACTGATCAGAGGCAATTCTCAGGCAATAGCACCCACTGCAGTGGCTTCCCCGCGCCGCTCTACGTAGGCAGCAACTGGTTTGTAATGACCACGTGTCGCTTTCACGAGAAGACAACAAAAAGTCATTTTTAAAAACTGTATTCCACTACCATGCAGCCATAAAAAAGACTGAGATCATGTTCTTTGCAGGGACATGGATGGAGCTGGAGGCCATTATCCTCAGCAAACTAATGCAGGAACAGAAAATCAAACACTGCATGTTCTCACTTGTAAGTGGGAGTTGAATGAGGGGAACACACCGACACGTGGTGGGGAACACCACACAGCAGGGCCAGCTGCGGGGGTGAGGGAGACAGGGAGCATGAGGAAGAACAGCTAATACTAAGGTGACGGGCTGATCTGCACTGCACACCACGGCACATGTTTACCTACATGATAAACCTGCACATCCTGCACAGGTGCCCCAGAACTTAAAAGTTGAAGGAAAGTAAAACTGCATTCCTTCAATCTCCTCAGGATCCCCCGGGTGGGCACCTGTGGACCAGTGAGACAGCAAAGATGCTTGAAACCTGGTCCTGCCCAGTTCTGCAGGTCCAAGGGGTTCATCTGGCCTCTTGTGGCGAAATCAGGGGCCTGGGCTCTTCTTTTCTAACAATGGAGCATTCCCATGGTTCTTTCTAAGTTTCCATGGTCAAGAGTTGACCAGAGGGCTGGCTGGGGCAGGACTCAGCCTGGGAGCCTGGGGAAGAGCCATACCTGGCCCAGACATGGCCCCTCCCAGGCCCCATGCCCATCTTCTCTCAGGGCCCAAAGAAAGCTTGATATCCACACTTTCCAAAACCTCACTCCAAAACCAAAATGGAGAAGAAATATCACAAAGAGATGAAAAGGCCTTGATTTTCCCATCAAACTCCCTTTTAGAAGACGAAGGAACAGGTGATACATACAACTAGCACTGGCAGAGAGGAAACAGTTAAAACCAGGGCACAGGTTTGCTCACCAGCCCAACACCCACCTAGCTCCAGTCCAACGCTACTGATCTGGCACCCTTCCCATTCCGGTATTTTGAGCAAAACACAGACAGACACACACACTCTCCCTCTCTCTCTCTCTCACACACACACACTCTCTCTCTCTCACACACACACACACACACACACTCTCTCTCTCTCTCTCTCTCTCTCTCTCTCTCTCTCTCTCATACAAAGACCAGGCTGGCCTAAAACCTTGCTCCACGGTTTCTCAGAGATGTGAACAGGACGTGTTTAAAGCTTTGTCCTATTGCCTTAGCTGGGCAAAGGGAGAAAGGGAGAAAGAGACGGAGGCCTCAGTCGGACAGAATGGAAGTGAAGCCACAGGCCAAGGCCAAGGCCAAGGGCGAGACGAATGCCATTTTGAGAGAGCCACCCCTGTTGGCCGAGGACTCCTCCGCGTGTTCTCCCATCCAATGGCTGCCCTGAGGGGAAACAGACAGTCTCAAATGACAGACCCCGAGGCATCACCAGCTGCTTCACCTGAGGAAGAGGTGAGAGGTGTGGACAGCTCAGGGAGGGCCAGCTACACTCAATTAGAGGCCTGTTTGGAAAAAGTCAGTCGAATCTGAATCTCTTCTCTCCTTCCCGTTCAAGGCCCTTTCTCAGAAGAGAAGCAGCAAGGCACCTGCCTGCAGGGGTGGCTTTATCTTCAGGGACCCTGGCTTTGTTCCATTCATTATCAGGGGCACCCACGTTTTATGTCAGCCCACTGCCAACTCAGGTCAAACTCCCAGGCAGGGACTATGGGGTTCACTCCAGGAATGAAAAAGAAATGAGGGCTAGACTCAGCTCCCAGTCCCTACTTCCACTGAAACTCCAAGGTGCCTTTCTCAAGGCTGACGTGAATCTGCATGGCAGGGCTGGCTTCGTGGGTGTCTGTCCCCCACCCTGGGCATTAGCTCTGGGGTCACGGGGTTCCATGTTTTCATTTTGCACTGGGTGCCACAAGTTACGCAGCTGGTCCTGTGCATAACCCACAGCCAGGCACACAGCTGGGACTTCATACATTCTTTGATTAATCGGCTGACGTTTCAATAGGCCCTGCAAGCTACCCAGCAGCCATGGCCTCAGCAGCGTTGGAAGCCGGAGAGCAGAGCACCAACTTCCACAGACTCCTGCTGAGACCTCACCAGGAACAGAGCCTGGTGAGCCGGCTCCTTGGCAGAAGGTAGAGGGAGGGCGGCCTGGGGAGCAAGACAGTGTTATACTGGAGGGGACAGTCTGGCCGGAGGGATCCTGGTGGTGCAGCCTCAGGCCATCTGTGTCTGCTCTGGCATCTCCTGGGCACTCTCACCAGGAGCACAGGCCCAGGCTCAGGGAGGAGTCCTGTGTTCTCAGCTTCCTGGGTCAGTGAAGCCCTGAGGCCTCTGTGTGGACTCCATGTGGTCCCAGGCCCAGTCCTCTCAGGAGTCCGTCCTAGTCGCAGACGCAGCTGCAGAAAACCCAGCTTCCACCGCTTCTGGCTCAGCAGCTCCTGCTGGACATGATGTCATGCTCACATCCTCCACAGCAGCCACCTGTCTGTCAGGGAATGTCTGGGAGTATACACTGTCTAGCTCAGGCACAGCCCATAAGGGGGAAAAAGAGCCTTAAATGGGAGGAAACCCTCACATTGACCGGTCCTAGCTCAGGCTGTCCCCTGAGCGCAGCCCAGCCTCGGCAGCCTCAGATCGGGTTACGGTGGGAGGAAAGGACAGCTTCTCCAGGGCGGCAGCTGTCTCGCACCCGTCTCCATGTGAAAACATCAGCCTGTTATTATCCCAACCTAGGGAATTGCAGCTCTCTACCTCTAGTTATTAAACACGGCTTCCCAGGCAACTCAGCTTCCTGCCCGACTCCAGAGCTGCCTCCCCCATCCTTGAAAGAGATCCTCAATTTAACACCTGTGAGGACCCAAAGGGCGGGCCATGCACTGATCCGTTCGGGCTGGTAGCCCCACGGCGGCAGGTGAGATGGACTGTGATTGCTGACGGAGCTTCAAGGCATCAGCCCATAATATGTAGAAGAAAGCTCAGCCTCCCAGGATGGCGACAGGTAACAGCTATGCAGGAGGCCAATCGAAAGCTTGTTTTCTCTGTCCCTGGATGAGGACACTGCCCATGCTCCCAGCATCCTCATCCAGAACCACTCCCATGCAATTAGGACCCCTCTCCAATCTGCTTAGTTAGAACAGAACATTTTCATTATAAAATTTTTTATTGTACTAATAGATGAACATACAATTTACTATCTTAACCAGAGTGTAAAGTTCAGTAATGTTAAAGCCACTGTCACGCAACCGTCACTGCTAATCCACCTCCAAATCTGTCATCCCACATTGAAACTCTGTACCCACGAAATAACAGCTCCCCACTCTCCCTTCTCCCCGACCTCTAGCAACCACCATTCTTTGCCTCTATGACTCTGACCACTGTAGGTCCCTCACATAAGTGGAATCCTGCAGCATTTGTCCTCAAGGTTCATCCAAATTGCAGCCCATGTCAGAATCTCCTTTTTAAGGCTGAGTAATATTCCCTTGTACATAGACAGCATGTTTGTTTATCCATTCATCCATCCATGGACATTTAGGTCACTCCCACCTTTTGGCTGTCATGAATAACGTTGCTGTGAAGATGAGTGTCCAAACATCAGAGTCTCTGCTTTCAATTATGTGGGGATTCAGTTCTTTAGGGTTCAGAAGTGGGATTATATGGTAACTCTCGTTTTGATTTTTCGAGAAGCCATCACATGGTTTTCTAAAGTGGTTGTACCATTTCACGTTCCCATCAATGGTGCACAACGGAGTTCCAATTTCTCCACATTCTTCCAACACAGATCGTTTTCCATCGTTTTGTGTATTAGTCCGTTTTCACGCCAGTGATAAAGACATACCCGAGACTGGGCAATTTACGAAACAAAGAGGTTTAATGGACTCACAGTTCCACATGTCTGGGGAGACCTCACCATCATGATGGAAGGCAAAGGCATGTCTCAGACATGGTCGCAGACAGGAGAGAGTTTGTGCAGGCAAACTCCCTCCTTATAATCATTAGATCTTGTGAGACTTCGTCACCATCCCGAGACCTGCCCCCATGATTCAGTTACCCCCCACCAGGTCCCTCCCACAACACGCAGGAATTGAGGAAGAGATCTGGGTGGAGACACAGCCTAACCATGGCATTTTGTTTCACGGCAGCCCCTGTATAAGTGTGAGGTATAGAAAAGAACATTTCTACACAAAATATTTCCTCTGTGTTAAGTTGGGAGGGTGGAAAATGAAAAGAAAGTCTAATTCACAGCATCGTTGCAGTGAGGGTGTATCACGACGGCTGAGGTCCTTTTGTAAAAGGGCTAATACGGATGCTTTGTCAACAGTCATCTTGGTGACACTTATTGCCTCTGGAAAACAAATGCCATTCGTCCCCAAATCCAGACTACTTACAAGTTCTTTCTCCACTCATTGAAAGGAAACAGCAGGAAAGAGACAAAATTTTCTTCAATAGAGGGAAAAGTTCCCATGAGCCATTAATTATTTAACAAAACATACGAAACTGCAGATTTCCTATAGTACTTATAAAAACTATATTCAAAGTAGAAACCATGGGAGTTTAGTTGTATATTGCACAGATGACATTGTTTAGAGCTCCTCTAGGAAAATCTTTCAGAGCAAATATAATTGCCATTTGGAAAATCAGCTCCATTAACTTAAAATCACACACAGACATAGTTCCCAAGGACTCCTGCTTGCTCCCCAGATTGAATCTGCGCTCAAATCATGGTACCCTTGACCTGAACACTGCAACACCCAGGGCATTCTGCAGAAAGCCTCGCAGTCCCCAAATGCCATTGCAAAGTCACCTGAGCAACAGCAGCCTCTGGCCAGTGGGTGTGGGCGGCCCCTGCTCTTAAGGAAGGTGGTGCCTGGAGGCTCCCAGTGCTCACTGGAGTGGGCAAGGCCAGGTCAAAAGCCTACACCAGGTCATGTTCACCCCTTGGTCCTTGACGCCTGCGCCTGCATCAGCCCCATCATAGATAATCAGAATTACTAAAGATACTTTTTCCACAGTGTCTCTTCAATAATTCTGATTGTCTATGATGGGGCTCACATATGGATTATATATTTCATCATACCCTGCAGAAGCAGCAAGTATTCTCCCAAGGGATTGCCACATACAAAGCACGCTTAGGGCTGGCAACTGACTAACCTCCGCAGAGACTGAGCAGGCATCTATGTGGTAACACATACTGGCACTGTGTCTACTCTGGGATTTTTTTCTTTTTCTTTTTTTGAGATAGAGTTTCGCTCTTGTCACCTAGGCTGGAGTACAATGGCACCATCTTGGCTTACTGTTACCTCTGCCTTCTGGATTCAAGTGATTCTCCTGCCTCTGCCTCCTGAGTAGCTCAGATTATAAGCCTGCACCACCACACCTGGCTAATTTTTATATTTTAGTAGAGATGGGGTTTCGTCATGTTGGCCAGGCTGGTCTCTAACTCCTGACCTCAGGTGATCCGCCCGCCTCAGCCTCCTAAAGTGCTGGGATTACAGGCACGAGTCGCCATGCCCAGCCTATTCTGGGATTTTTGAAAGGAATGAAAGCTGCACTGTCCGGTGTCTGCAGCAGGGACCACAGAATTTCCCCAGATGACTTTGAGACGTCATGGGGCTCAGAGTTTGCAGCACACGGACTGAGAGACGCAACCAAAAGCATTTCTTGACTCAAAACCAAATGTTAAGTGAGATTTAGCTCTATGTGGAGGACCAGGCGTGGTGGCTCACGCCTGTAATCCTAGCACTTTGGGAGGCCAAGGTAGGCAGATCACCTGAAGTCAGGGGTTCCAGACCAGCCCGGCCAACATGGTGAAACCCCATCTCTATTAAAAATACAACAACTAGCCAGGCATGGTGGTACACATCTGTAATCCCAGCTACTCAGGAGGCTGAGGCAGGAGAATCGCTTGAACCAAGGAGGCAGAAGCTGCAGTGAGCCAAGATTGTACCACGCACTCCAGCTGGGTGACAGACGCTCTGTCTCAGAAAAAAAAGTCCCTAACATTCAATGTTGACATATTCCTAGCAACTCTAACTAAAAGCTGGTGTTTTTAACCTAATGGATTAAGTTATTAAGAAGTATTTCTGTGTATTTTATACAGGGAGATTTTCGGTATGAACACGTAACATGTTGTTCACGTTGTTAAAGTCAAGCAACCAAAGAAAAATCAGTATTCCTCAGAGAGGGCCGAGACATAAGGAAAAGTGACACAGCCACACTGACATCTGTGGATGTATCCCCCAAAAAGAAATGGTCCGAGTGCTAACGCTCAGTACCTGTGAACGTGACCTCATGTGGAGAAAGAATCACTGCATGTCAGTTACAGGCCAAATCCCATTTTACCTGGTCACGAACACAGCAGCATCCACCAGGGGCGGGTCGTCCTTCCCACCGGGAACCTGGTTGTTGCCGAGGTACCGCGCTCCTCCATACTCCTCGTTCTGCCAGTGACAGAAGCTCTCCAGGGACCGCTCACCATGGTGCCCAATGTACAGCTTAGCCTGAAAGAAATCGGGGGACAGTTAGAGACACAAACGCCTGGGAGGCCAGAGTGTAGATCGAGACTACGGCAAGGACGTTAAGGTGAGACAGTCACTCGCTGAGACACCGTTTGATGACTCACGGCCCTCTTAAGAAAAGCCTGATGCTTGCGGGTAAGCAGCATAGCATAAATCTGTAGGAACCATCAGAGGCCTTACATATAGGTGTGAATGAGGACGATGCTGATTAAAAAAAAACCATCTTCTGTTCTTCAGACAGAACAGTAAACCAAGCAATGCTCCCTCAGTCTCATGGTGAAGTCGCCTCGCCAGGTTACATCAGCACACGGGAAGGTGCTCCATTGAAAGACCAGAAAATAATGCTGCCATGAACCCAACCTGGGGTCGAAGCTCTAATGCAGTTTCAGAACGGAAGCCACGGGGCCAGGTGTGGTGGCTCATGCCTGTAATCCCAGCACTTTGGGAGGCTGAGGCAGGCAGATCACAATTTCAGGAGAGCGAAATCATCCTGGCCAGCACAGTGAAACCCTGTCTCTACTAAAAATATCAAAAATTAGTTGGGCACCGTGGCAGGTGCCTGCAGCCCAGCTACTCACGAGGCTGAGGCAGAAGAATTGCTTGAACCTGGGAGGCAGAGGTTGCAGTGAGCCGAGATCACGCCACTGCACTCCAGCCTGAGTGACAGAGTAAGAGTCCGTCTCAAAGAAAGAGAACGGAAGCCATGTCAGAGACCTCCCCATCAAGCTTTGGACATAACCTAGCAGCACCACGCGAGAGCCTCGGGGAGAGGAGGGGGACGTGTGTGGGCTTACCACTCAGGGTTCCTTGAGATTCTCAACAGTCCACCCTCACACCACGCTACCAAAACTGCTGCCTGCTTCCCTCTCACGCTGGCAAGGCCACAGAGGGCACGAGGACTGGCAACACCCGGGAGCCCCACTTAGCATTCAACAGCAAGTGGGCAGCTCCGGCCAGGCCACACTTTCTGCATGCTTGAAAGGTGCCCGAGGGGACTCACCGGACGCTGTTGTAGCAGGACAAGCTTGGTCACTTGAATATTGATTTTAACCCCCAGGCTCTGGTGCTGAAACATATTGTACACCTATCAAAACAGAAAGAAAAGATATAAATGTACAAAAATCTTTTAATATAGTAGTATCCTGGATGGGAACTTGGGAGAGAGAAAAGAGGTTACTTAAAAATAAGGGAACATGAATGAAGGGCAGACCTTAGTTCCTGACACTCTATCATTATCAGTCCGCTAATGACGACCAACATACATTCTGTCGTGAGAGGCTCGTACTGGGGCAAACTGTACGGCAGCTCTCTGCACTAACCCATCAATTTTTCTGTACATCTAAAATTGTTCCAGAATATAAATTCCATTCATAAGAATATTGAAAATATAGGTTGTGCTCTTCCAGTACTAAAAAAACTAAAGAACAATTACGTGAAATGCAAAGGCAAGTGGCCATAAACTCTTATCAAAATAAAACATACAAATATGAGAAACAGAACCCAGATTTTATTTACAAGGTTTTCCAGGAAAGCCAAAAATTTCCTTAAAAATGAATTTGCCAAAAGAAAAATGTATATGAGAAACCTCTAGAATCATACATATGTGTACAAACACACATATATAGTATGCTTATGTGTCTCTATAAAGCTATGCCAGAAATACACGTAAAAAACACGTATAGGAAAGTAGTTCTGAAAAAAGGAAAGGGCTGTTAGGTGATTCTGGCAGAAAGCTGAAGACTTCCATTCTGGGCTTTCATGCTTGGGGCTAAAAGGGGACCTTCATCAAGGGGATGGGGGAGCCAGATGCCTGCTGCACGCCAGCCTGTGTCATCGCTAACCCTTGCCACGCCCACCAAAATTGGCATCTCCAGCACTCTCAGCTGGGAAACAGGAAAACCAGTTCATCAAGGTAAAGCCACCTGCGTGAGACCCACAGCCAGTCACGACAACTTGATTCAAACTCAGCCCTGTCCAGCCAAAAGGTCTACACTCCTTCTTTATTCCCTCAAGTCCCATTGTAACCAAAGTTTGTCACTGAAATAAGTAACAGTAACAGAAAAGGACCTATCTTCCTCAATTCTGTTGCAGAACTTAACGGTAAGGACCTCAACATCAAGCAGTCACAGGAAAGTGACTGAAGAGGAAGAGGCGGGAACTTGGAATAAGTGGGGATTCAAAGCTGACATGCATGGAGCAAGTGCACTGCAGCGGACAATCCCAGGCCATTATGACTCTGCCAAGTTCCTTTCCCGTGACTCAGAGAACGCAGGACGTGAGAGGTATGCAGAGAGCACGCTAAAGGCAGAGGCAGCTGGAACGTGTGGAGGGAACAAGAATAGAATCTTTTGAATATTCTACTTGGTTTTTACCTATAGACATAACACAGGTAACACAGGAGGGAGAATTTCCCAGCAGGAGCATTAAAACTTTCTCCAGCTGGTGCTGTGTTCACGCTATCAATACATCGGCAGCGGCAGCAGGAAGCGACGATCATGGTAGACAGCACAGCCAGGGTCAACTCAGGCCACGCTGAGCAGCCCAACGCTGCCGACGCGGCTGCACCCCGCCCACAAGTGCTGGAAGCCGGAGACGCAGTGTGTGAGCATCTCCGTGACAAAGGCGTCAGCTTTGCCACTGCTTTCATTTTACTCTTTGAAAACCATCATTACAGTTAAAAAACCTATCTTTGTATGATGTAATGTTCCCTCCCACAAGGAAAAATAGAACACACCCAATTGCTCTGTTCTCACCTTTGTTATTTCCAAAATCTCCTTTCCTCATGAACAGGCAGGGGTGTGTGTGTGTGTGTGTGTGTGTGTGTGTGTGTGTGTGTGTGTGTGTGTGTTTAATACTGGACCATCCACAGGCCAGTTCTGAAGTCACTTACTCATGATCTATCCCCAAGCCTGGGAGAGGAGTGGAGAGGCACCTGACTTGCCTACCCGCTTCTTGTTCCTTGTTTTGATAGTTGGAGAACCACCCAATAATTTTCCCTAAAACATTCAGCATGAGAACTGGGTCCAAACTTGTAAACTTCAGTTCAAAACACGAAAATTAGGAAGATAGAAAACCTGAAGTCATGAGGGAGGAAATTCAAATTGCAGTGTTGCCATCTGAGATTACATACTGCGACCTAACACTGCCCCCGTCAAAACCAAAACGTTAAAGGATACTACAGATTTAAAGAAACAAAGAGATAAAGCGATCCTCAGTGACACTATGATATGCCACAAAAGGAAAGACCGCAAGGAAGGATGCAAGTTTCAGGAAGAACCGAACTGCAGGAATAAGCTCCCTTGTCAAAATCACCCATGTCCTCCTTGCCAGACTGATGACAGTTCAGAGCACGCCACACACCATTAACCCAAAGCTCAGTCACTTCCCGTGGAACAAATGCCACCAAAAAGATGAGAGATGGAAGGGGGATGGAAGGTTTCATGCTCCAGGGGCTGGGGGGAAGCAAAAATAGGAAGGTGGGTACAGAGTTTCAGTTTTGCAAGATAAAAAACCTGTCAAGATTGAACAAGGTGAACGTAACAATACTTAACTACACAGCTAAAAATGGCTAAGATGGTAAATTTCATGTTGTGCATTTTACTACAATTAAAAGTACAAAATTAACTCATTAAAAAGCTTCGTGCTCTAAATATTTAATGAGTACAGAGTTTCAGTTTTGTAAGACAAAAAAAGCTGTAGAGATTAACTGCACAACGAGAATGTGGGAATACTGACGCACAGTCAAAAATGGCAAAGACGGTACGTTTCACGTTAAGCGTGTTTTACTGCAATTAAAAGTACATTCATGCTCTAATGTTCTCTAGCAAGCCTTCTAAGACGACATTTCCTCTTGACATGTAACCAGGGTACATGACATCCAAGAGAGCAGGTACCGAAGCCTGAGCATGGCTCAAGCACTGTCACCTGCCAGGTGCTGACCACAGCCTCCAACAAAGCTCAGAGCACAAGGCAACGGGCACACACAGACTCTCCCTTGAGGTCCTGGGCCGAAGCCAGGCGAGCCAGATGAAAATCCACCGACAGCCACAAAACACAAGGTACAAGCCTCAAAGACATGTAGCAGAGTCTCCTCATCTTTTTTTCCCATGGAAACTCATGCTCAGGAGAAGTCTTGGAGGCAATGGCTACATGATGTTTAGAGAGACACCTGGTTGGGGAGGGAACAGCGCAGCCAAGCGTCTGGAAATTCTGTCTCCGGCGTCCAGCTCTGGCTGTGTCCCAGCAAGTGTTCAGAGCCCTGGCTGCATTTGTCACATTTCCTTGGCAGCCTAGGGGCCTAGCAGGATGGATCTGCTCCCAGCAGCACACTACGGCTTCTCTGGCTAGGCGACGTGGGGACACAGTAAGGGAAGGGCAGACAGGGACCAGAGAAGGAGCCGTGGTTGGGGACACAAGGAGAGGAGCTACTCACCACGCCAGGCTGGGCTTCACAAGGGCACCAGCTACCTGTATGACCTAAGGCCTCCCCAGGAACAGACAGGGACCTGTGGGTGACACTCTCAAGTTGCATACACTGCTATTCAGACCCCTCAAGAGGAGGGCGCTATGCTCTGTAGCACAGTACCTGTGAGTGGGGTCCCCAAAGCAGCAGCATCACATTACCTGGGCACTTGTTTGAAATGCACATTCTGGAGTCCATCCCGGCCCCACTGAACCAGAGACCCTGGGGGTGGGCAGGCCATCTGTGTTGTACAATACACCCTCCCCACCCTGCTCCAGGGCCTCCACACGCCCCGGAGTGTGGGAACCAGTGAGGGTTCTAGCACTATGCTCCTCTTGCTGGACACCAGAGAGAGGCTTGTTGTCTCTTCCACATGGTAATTGAGTAAAATTGATGTCATTTTCCCTCCATACAGAACTTGCCTGGAACAGCTCAGGTTTTTCATTCCACTCCACGGTCGTTAAGGAAGCTAAGAACAACTGAAGCTCTGTGAAGCGGCCCCATTTTCCAATTTGGCTGCCCACACCCAGGGTTTCTGGTATCAGCACCACCTGTTTCCGTCTGCAATTTGTTCTTTAAAATATTCCCGCTGCTGTGTCACTGCCACCCCAACCAAAGGAGAATCACATGACATACACACAAATGTACCACACACAGCACATCTGGAAAACCTCTAACAGTGGGGCCACAGCACCTCTGCAGCTCGGGTCAGCTCAGGCACCCGACCTGATGGAGGCTTGGGCTGGGTCACACAAATGCACCACACACAGCACATCTGGAAAACCCCTAACAGTGGGGCCACAGCACCTCTGCAGCTCGGGTCAGCTCAGGCACCCGACCTGATGGAGGCTTGGGCTGGGTGCAGTGAGTCACGTCTGTAATCCCAGCACTTTGGGAGGCTGAGGCGGGTGGATCACGAGGTCAGGAGATCAAGACTATCCTGGCCAACATGGTGAAACCCCATCTCTACTAAAAATACAAAAAATTAGCCAGGCGTGGTGGCGCATGCCTGTAGTCCCAGTTACTCGGGAGGCTGAGGCAAGAGAATCACTCAAAGCCGGGAGGCGTAGGTTGCAGTAAGCGGAAATCATGTCCCTGCACTCCAGCCTGGACAACAGACTCAGACTCCATCTTTAAAAAACAAAAAAACACAAACCAGAGCACATCACTCTTCTGCTTAAACCCATGCAACTTCGTTCCACTGCCTGGAACGAAGCCGCTCTCCACACCCTGGTGCCCAGCCTGCAAGGTCAGCCTACCTGCCTGCCTCTCACGGTGCCCACCACCTCCCTCCCCATTACCCACAAGCAACCAGCTATTTCTGTGCCTCTCTGGCTGATTGATGATGTTGGCTTACTACCTTCCCCTCTAAGGTCACCTCACTCCTCTCAGAGAGGTGGCCCTGATGCCCCTGTCGCTGCTGTCACTTGGTTTTCTGCACAGCACTTACCACGCTCTGGCTTTCCTTCTCACTGATGTGTGTGTTGAATGCTGTCGGTCGTTCCTACATAAGCACCATGAGGACGAGACCTCCCGAGGGTCCCCAGGACACACTAAGTGCCCAATAAATAAACCTGAGTAGAATCAGTCAATTGTTTTTATATTCACATACAACATAAAAT